ATGTGATAAAATTGCTGTGTATGTTTGGGGGTGCCCAGTTGTCATACAAAAATATGGTTATTGTGCTCATTGTGCCAACAATAAAATAAGCCCACCAGTTTTACATGGGTGGTTTCGGCAGACTTGCCAAAGCAACTGAATCCCCAATTTGACCTTGAGAGTACTGGGTTTATTAAAGATTGTTCCTTTTTTAGAAGAAACATTTTAGAAGCATCTAGTATTGCTGTCTCTTATGTAATCATGCAAGTTCACTGTCCTTTGCCCATAGCCAAAAATAACAGTTTCCCCCTTTGAGAAACAGGGAGATTTAACAAGTTACTGGGGGATTTTTCTTTACAGTTTTATAGCAAGATTTTATAATAACCCAGGGATATCGCTTAAAGTCAATGTGTTTGATCAGCACTCCAGAGAGCCCATCTGTTTTCACCCAGAAACCACGCAACTTGTGTCATAAAACCACACAAACAAATTAGCTAAGGAAATTCCCTTGGAAAAAAAAAATAGTAATTCTTGAAGCTTCATGAAAACTATTGTGAATTGTGAGGCCATGTAGAGACCCAGGAGAGTGAGCATATGCCTGGTGTGAAGAAGCCGAGTAGCCAGCCTTCCCTCATTGAACATAATGTGGTCAGCTTTTTAATACCCACAACAGCCAGAAACTGCTCCTCCCGTTACATTAATCCACACATCTATGTGTGCTTTGCTAACCAGCATAGACTTGATGTGAAAATTAGAGTTGTTCACAAGTCTGGATGGTTTTGAAATTGTTTTCATTAGGAACATCACACAGGTAAAAAAAAAAAAAAAAATACCCCCCCCTCCTAATTCTACTTAATGTCATCCTCCAATTCAGTTATTTGTCAGAGCTTGCAGAAGGGAAGTGAAACTGCTTACCATCTGAACACCTGTGCAGAAGAAAGTGCAGGCAGGGACGCAGAAGATGTAAGCAACGAGGCAGAGCAGGCTCCGTGCCACGCACAGTAATTCAGTCCTGCTTTCCTGGGAAGCCCAGTGAAGGGGAAAGTCTTTCAACTCCCCTCCCCTCCATCCCGATATCTCAGGGAGACAGACGCTGAGCTATAGAATAGCCTGGGCTTAGATGATTTATATTTTTAAAGCTCAAGGTTTGAAATTGATTGCTTTGATTCTAATTTCCTTTTTTTCTGCAAATGTGCTTTTTTTCTCCTTTTACTAAGTGACTCTGCTACAGAACTATCATCTGATCTCTCAGTGAGAGTCAGACTTCAGGCTCAGTTGGAGGTATTATCAACTCTCTCTTTTGTCTGTTCTTTACATTGGGGTTTTCCAACATAAAGGGACAAAGCTTAGCATTCTCTATAGTATGCGCCTTCCCTTCTAAACTCATGATCTTTGGATTTTTAATGGACATTTGCAATTATAATTACTTTTTTTGTTAAAAGGCCTGCTTTTGGAGGGAATGGTAATGATGATCTTAAATTCATATCCAGTTCTTTTATTGATATTATTCACTCATTTACATCAAAGTAGATTAACTCTGAGAGAAATCTGTGCTTCAGTGCAGGAAGGAGAAAGAATTTGGATAAAAGGTGGACTATCATTTTATTATCTTTTTAAAGAAACTTTCAAGTGACTTCAAAGTATCACGGAACACTTTTATTTGTCCCCATCTCCTGACACTGGCCCTCTCTCCAGTGTAGATCTACCAGTCCTGTCTAGCTCTGTTTTCTCTCCATTTGTGTCTAAGTCATAGCTCATGGATGGGGAAGGACAAATGGTTGTGTTGCTACTGGTAATGAAGTAAGACAGCCCCCTTCACGTTTTAGCTCTTCGTTGGACTGGAAAAAATCTCTATGGAAAGAGTAATTGTGCTGATTTTTTTGTTTTTGTTTTGTCGGTCGTGGGGCCTGAACTCTGGGCCTGGGCGCTGTCCCTCAGCTCTTCAGCTCAAGGCTAGAGTTCTACCACTTGAGCCCCAGCACCACTTCTGGCTTTTTCTGCTTATGTGGTGCTGAGGAATTGAACCCAGGGCCTCATGCATGCAAGGTTAGCACTCTACCACTTGAGCCACAGCACCACTTCTGCCTTTTTCTGCTTATGTGGTGCTGAGGAATTGAACTCAGGGCCTCATGCATGCAAGGCAAGACGCTCTACCACTGAGCCACCTTCCCAGCCCCTTGTGTTGATTTTTTTTTTACAAACTGAATCCATCAAGAAATATGCAGCGTAGGGCTGGGAAGGTGGCTCAGTGGTAGAGTGCTTGCCTTGCATGCATGAGGCCCTGGGTTCGATTCCTCAGCACCACATAAACAAAAAGAAAAAAGCCGGAAGTGGCGCTGTGGCACAAGTGGTAGAGTGCTAGCCTTGAGCTGAAGACATGAGGGACAGCGCCCAGGCCCAGAGTTCAGGCTCCAGGACCGGACCCCCCCCCAAAAAAATATGCAGGGTACATTACAAGTGAGCCCCTGGTCTTACACCCTTGGGGGCTCCTTGTACGCCCCTAGCCCAGGACAGCTGCCGAGCTCACGTGAAGCCACGTAGACCAGCGCTGCCTGTTGACCTGATCATTGGTGGAGTCCCTGCAGAGCCTCTCCTGTGCCCTATGCCTTCTCTCACTCAACGCTGCTGCGTTGCAGACTGAACCACAGTCAAGTGTTCGGATGCAGTTCACGCATTCAGATGGTTAAATAAACCACAGCCCGCTTCCATTCCACTGCTGGTGTGTGGTTACTTGACAGTGGGAGTCTTACAAATGGCGTTGTGGTGGCCTGGGAGTGCACAGGCGGTGAGATGGCACCCTCTGTCTGGCCGGTGCTCCTGTTGGGGAGGCCCAGTGGGGGTTCTGATGTGTGTGTGTGTGCTGATTCGGGTTGATGTGGCTCATCTGTGAGGCCCAGGCAGAGCCTGTGGGCACTGCCATTCCCATGGAGCCCCTTTTATCCTTGCATGATGCCACTCCCTACTCCCCAGGCCAGAGGCAGCTGCCAGCCACTCCAGCTGCCAGTCCTGCGGCTCTCTTTGAGCTGACCATTCTAAAGTGCCGGGCGGCTACAAGGCTCAGGGTTTGAGAGAACTCACACATCCATGTAGAACCTTCCAGGTCCTCAGAGAGCACTTTCCTCTTGCCCTGGGTAGTTCTGTGGGCCCATGGCCACAGTATTAGGTCCGAGTTCATCGCCACTGGGTCTCAGCAGGGCTGGAGAAGGGTGAATGCGGTGGCTTCTTTATTCCTGCGTCTCTAGAATGGAGCACACCTGACAGAGCCCGGCCTTTGGGACTGGGTTCAGCAACGACGACACCCGTGTTCTAAACAAATGAGTCAGCAAACGGGTGAATGGGAAGGTCCTGCCTCCTCCCCGCAGCGTCACCTTGCTGTCACCTAACCATGCTCCTCTCACTGTGTGCTCTGTGTACACAGCGTGCTTTCTCTACCCGCTCCATCAATGAAAGCCCATCTAGAGAACCAGTCTCTTCCTCCTCAAATCTTCACTGAGGCACTGCAGCACTTTTTCTGATCATCCCAACTGGTTTTGTGCCGTGGGAGCTCAGCCTTCACCATTCTCACAGCTTACCCGGGAGCTACTCAGGTGATCAAGAACCTGACAATGTGTGCAAGGGAGGAGGCGGCAAATAGCAGAGACCCCCTTCCCTAAGCCAGATCGCAATCTAAGCAAAGACTCCTCACCAAACCAAAGCAGATGTACCCAGAGCGAAGGTGAAATGCGTGTTATACAAAACCGAAATGGAAAAGCAATTCCTGTAGCAGAATGAGAAAAATCAGAGATCAAGACATATGATCCACTGTGATCAGACAGCCAGACAGCTAAGCTGTCAATCAAATTCAGATTGGGATCTTCAAGAAAGGAAGGAAGGGAGCTGGAGGAGGGAAGGAAGGAGGGAGGGAGGGACAAGAAAGGAAAGGAAAAGAAAAAGAAGCACTCCTGTTCCTCCAGCCAGTTCCTTGTGCGTGTGTGGGTAGGAGAGAATCATTGTCTTTCTCTTCTTGTTATCAAAGCTTGCTTGGTCCCTACTGCTTCTCTTTTCATAGTCTCAAGGCGATTCATAATTCTGAAGCAACAAGACACTCCACAAGGAAGTAATAAGCCAATGGGTGTTAATATCTCTGAATCTTTTCAAAAGGTTGCCTGAATTAAACACACTGTAATCAATATATGAAGCCAGAGCAAAAGGCAGGGCAGACATGGAGATGTAAATTCCAGGTTGCAGAAAAGCCACTGGAAATGAGTAACTAGAGAGAGGTGTGAGGGCCTTGGAGAAAAGTCAAATTAGAAGGAGGAAAAGAGAGGGTAAGAAAGTACACACCAAATACTGCCAAACAAACTAATACGTGTGTGTCTTAGTCAGCATTGCTCCTGTTAAACCAGTTTTCCCGAAACCCAATTTGCAGAAATATAAATATCTACTCTTGCATAGATAAACACATACATGAGGAACTCCATTTGCTTGCTATCCTAGAGTATTTAAAGCATTTCCAGACTTAACTGGAAAAACTTGAACACCAATATATTGTTTCTGTTTTAAGCTTCCTGTAATCAATCAGACTATATGAATTCAAGATTCTCTCTTGTCAGATATTGCCACATTAGCATGATTGTTTAACTTGTATTCTCATTTCTTTTTTAATTCTTTGGATTTCCAGTTTTACCATTGTATGTGTTCAAACCAATTTTATTGCTTAAATATATGAACGTTTATAAGTAAAACACAGGAAAAATTCGTGTATGGAGTAAAAAGAGACTCCTCTTTGGGGATAAGATAATACAAAGTTCTACTTGTGCCTTTTTTCTGCTTTAGTTTTCCCGTTAAGTTTTGGGCCTTATAGAGCTATCCACCACAGTAATGATCAAGGCAGGGATGCGCAATATACAATGCTTGGTGTACCTTTGCTGCCATCTACTGGTTGTTTCTGTAATTGCTAGTTGTTATCTCAAATTCTATTATTTCTGTAGAGTATACTGTTCTATAGAGTTCCCCCTTTCTCTTTTATTTTTTTCATTCAGCTGAAACAAAGTGAGGCAAATGCAGACACAAAAGAGAAGCTCCCACTACGCCTGAGAATCTTTGAAAAGTTTCCCAACAGACCACAAATGGTGAAAATCTCAAAACTTCCTTCTGATTTTACAGTTCCTAAAATCAGGTATGAGTCTCAGATACATGGTAAAGGATTCATGCTAAGTGTGGGGGGTTGGAAACCTTTGACCCCTGAGATCTGAGTCTTCAGGGGAGAGGTCGTATGTACCCCAGACCCACAGGCTGCTTGTCCCTTGGGCTCCCCCAGGGACTCATCTCTCAGCTGAATGGCAAAGGTGCTGGCTGTGCTGGGAAGGAGGAAAGTAGCCTGTGTTCCGATAGCTTACCTCTACAGGCCTTTTATTTTCAAGTAAATAAAGAACTCACTCTTGGGAGGGCTTTTGAGACACTTCAGCATTTGATTAGTTTGCCATACCTGGTCACAATATAATTTACCTCCCACTTTTTAAAGGAATTGGCGTGTGTGTGTGTGTGTGTGTGTGTGTGTGTGTGTGTGTGTGTGTGTGTATGCACACATGCACTAGGACTGCAACCCAGAGCCTGGATGCTGCCCATTAGCTTTTCTTCTCAGGACTGGTGCTCTACCATTTAAGCCACAGTTTCAAGAATGATAGTGTTTTATACTCATACTAACTTGATTTTCTACTACCTTTACCTTTGGGTTAAACAAATACTTATGGGGAGCTACTTCTCATAAGTAAATGATAGTCTTCCAGTTGTAGCTCAAAGAATTACAGGTACAATCAGAATAAAAAGATTTCTTTTAATTATCTGATTTTAAAAAATTGGTGTGGATTAGATTGGGTATGGTACCATCATATTCTAATTCAAATAGAAAAGTACAGGCATATGTCACTGATGGCTGGGAGAAAGGCTGAGGAACCTGTGGGTAAATAGTCACCCATTGCGTGACATCATAGGTGTATTTATGCAGAGCAGAACATCTACAGTGTCACTGGCTGACCTCACTTTATATGACCCCTGCCATGTACACAGCCCATTGTTCAAACACCTTCACATGACACATGACTGTACTTTCATTTCTGAAAGGAAAGCACAGTTAATTGACTTTGGTTAATCAGGGAGATGTTATTTGAATGTTCAGTGTTTCAGACACCAGATGAAATCTGGTTGTTGTTGGTTTTTTGTTTGGGTTTGTTTTGTTTAGTCTTTAATATTATCTCCCAATGATTTTTCTGATGAACGGAAGCTTAGAGAGATAAATTGAATCTTTCAAGCCTCAGAAGAAAGATGAAGTATCTTAGAACTACAATAGGATTGACCATTTTAAAAAGAATACCACCAGTTATTGTTTTAAAGTCATCTCAGGGGCATTGCCTTTTTCAACAGAAGTCGGTGAATGCTGATTTTCTTACAGCAGATACCATGATGGCAGATGAAAAATTGCTCATGTGATAATATTTTTAGTCCATGAGAGCAAGGTATGAGTTTAATTGACAGACATAATTAAACTGGAGGAATTTTTCCCACCCTCTGCTTTTAAGGGTTACAGGAGTTTGCTTGAGGTGGGTTTTGGTTACAGATGCAAGGCTACATCACAAGGGGGCAAGTTACAGGATACCAGGAAGCAGCAAGATGAATACACACAGGCACTTGTCCTGTCTTCCAACAAGATTACTGCAGAAGGTCAAACACTCAGAATCCTGTGTCTTTACTCAGTTGTGAGATAAGGCAACCCCACAACCAGTAGTTTTCTGCTGGCATCTGGCATTCTCCCAGCATACAGTTCACTCATACTTCCTGCTGCCAGTCACAGTTCTCGTGGGGTTCCCACAGGTGAGGATGTGTGAAGTTAAATACCGTGACAACTAAACCTAAAGCTCACTCTTGACATGTCTTGTTTTCTGTGACCTTTGGATATCGCCTAACTTTCCCATCATCGCAAAAGGCCACCCCCGGCCTCATTTTGTTTCGTTAAATGTGTTCCCTGTCTCGCTTCACTTGCAAGGGAAAGTTTCATGAAGCAGTTCATTGATCGCCAGCAACAGGACACTTGCTGCCTCTTCCGGATTCTTCCTTCAGCCTCTTCCTCATCATGCGATCACTCCAAACGGTCGGCAATAGAAGACAACAAATACATTGATCAAAAAGTAAGAACTTCTATCTTAAAGGACCACACTTAGCACAGTAACTATTTGGGGGTCCTGGAGAATGTTGAAAGAGAATGTCAGTGAAAAGTATTTTATTCGCAGGAGAAATCATCGACACCTCATTATTGCAGCATATTTAAATCTTGCATTTCTGGGATTCAGCTTTTAAGCTCTGCTCCACCACAGCCATGCAGTTCTGCATGCTTTGCAAACCCTCACACCTGCATTTTCTCATGTACAGAATGGAGGGATCAGGTCTCCAAGTACGGCCTGGGCTAATGATGGCCTATTTGTTGCTCTTAGTAAGTGATTTTCACTGTTACATCTGAGAGAAAAACCATCCAAATAACTTCCATTTATGTGCTTTGCATATAGAGGGAATTACCAGTAGTCATACTAGCTTACTCATGTTCCAATGCACCCCTTTCTTTAGCATCTAAAGTTTTTTTTCTTCCAATTCCGCACTCAAGTATCAGTAGGGAAACCACCTGCAAGCATAGCGGATTTAGTTGTTAATTTTACAGAAATATAATTTCCCATTTTTCACTTCTAAAATTTATAACAACAAGGGATGCCCACAGACACATACATGGATATACACTATGTATGTGTGTGTGTGTGTGTGTGTGTTTGTATGTCTGCAAACACATATTTTGTATTTTACTATTAGTTGGGTCACAGAATCCACATCAGTTTGGTAGTATAATCACCTGGAGAATTTTAATTTTGTGAGAGGTAAAATATTATAGCTTGCAAAAGTAGCTAATTCTCTAGCAGGTATTCCCTGTGGAGTTCCTCCTTTCTATTTTATTTTCTTAAATGGTCACCATCATTTGCCTATTTGCTCTTCCTTCAGAATGGAATCTATATGACAATAAAACACAACCTTGTTCCATGCTCAGGAGCCTCTTCGTCTAGGCTCCCCACGAGGATGACGTCTTTAGGGTGTTCTCAGCTTCCTCCTGGTCTTCTCAGGCCCCATCTTCTCATGAAATACCACTGTTTCCCCCTGTTTCTAGAATGCCAACAGCTGGCCTTTCCACAATGGCTTGGGCATTTTGTTCTAGGCTGTGTCAATGATGATGAACTTTATGGAATGTCTCATGTTAAGGATTTGAGCCTAAGATGGTAGATGACATGTCTGATGTCAGTATCTTTTGATTTATCTTCAAGTATTTAAGATTTTATCTAGCTGAAAGTTTGCTGCTTTGCTGGGGCGGGGTGGGGGGGAGGGCACTTTTCTGTGCACGATTAGGTTCAGGAATGTTAGCAGGGTGTGCTTCATCTCTCTTCATTTCTCTGCAGTTGGAACTGCCTGTATTGGACACTTGTCCCAGTTTGTAGACTAAGATATTCACTTCAAGTTATTTGTGTTTGTCACTTAGTCACAGGTTGCTTTTCTGTTTCAGGATTTTTTTCCCCCTTGGATTTTCATCTCTAGTTTTTGTCTCATGCTTTGTTTGACATGATATTTTTTTTCTGTTTAATCTTTCTGGCCACTCATTTGATCTCAACAGATGATTCTTTGCTCTTAAATTTTTGGTGGATAAAATCATGAAATGTGTGAATAATACTTGTAACTCTCTTTAAAGGCTTCTACTTAATTTCCTCACTTCTTTTCTTCAAAATCATAATTTACTCAATAGCATAAGCGGGTGACACAAGCTACATCTCCTGTGTCAGTACATTAACAAGTTGTTGCTTTCAACCATCCAATCAGAAATCACATCCCACACACTAAGAAGCAGACTGTTTTGCTTTCTGGTTTGGTTTATTCCTAAAGCAGACTATAAATCAGAGGTGGAAAAATTCATCCTCCTCAGTCTGAGCCCTGGCATGACCGCCTGTCACCTCAGGAGGACCAGGGGATGATGAACTCAAAGTGCCAAATCCATGACACACCTGTTAACTGCTCTAGGAGTAAGTAACATCTCACAGGAAACATCAAGTTGGAATACCAGTCCTGGAAATTAATTTTCTCTTGAAAAAGAAGTGTGATGTTTCTCACACTTCCTGAGCAAAGGATTTATCATTTGATGAGGAAAAGGAAAAGGATGCTGGCAGGTGTGTTCAAAGGAGGCGAGACCCAGGAGGAGCTGGTATCCTCCCCCACACACACCCTCCCACCCTCTCCTCCTCTGTGCACCCAGCGTCTCCCTGCTGCCCGCCACTCATTTGTTTAAAATGCCATTTCTAATTTCTTTACTGTCCTGCTTTTTTGTGGCTTCTTTTTTTTAAAAAAGATGTGGCTAATTGTTTGATTATAGATGTACTATAATTATTATTTGGGGGGAGGGGGGTCCAGTCATGGGCCTGAACTCTGGGCCTGGGCGCTGTCCCTCAGCTCTTCAGCTCTAGGCTAGCGCTCTACCACTTGAGCCACAGCGCCACTTTCGGCTTTTTTCTTTTTGCTTATGTGGTGCTGAGGAATCGAACCCAGGGCCTCAAGCATGCAAGGCAAGTGCTCTACCACTGAGCCACCTTCCCAGCCCTGTACTGTTTTTATTAAGGTATTATGCAGAAGGGTTACCATTTTATAAATCAGGTATCAGGTGCATCTTCTTTTTCTTTTTTTTTTTAAAAACGTGATGACCCTTTCCTTTGCTTTCCCCTGGTTTCCCCTTCCCTCCCTGCCCACAAGCTACATCGCTCATTTTCCACATAGACTCTGTTGCTCTGGAGCCATCTGAGTTGTTTAGAGACCAGACATTTTCGAAGCTGTAGAATCTGTTGATCAAGACCCACCTTATGTTAAACATAACCCATTATAGATGGTGATTGTGTGACCCTTCCTTCCAGCCAGGCCTGCTTGGCAAATGTAGGAAAACTGCAGTTGGAATGTGTGGTTCACTGCTTCTCACATCCATTCACTGGGCTCTGCTTTGGAATATGGATACACAGTGAACGGTACACGCCTTGTCTGCATGCCACCCGCAGGTGGCTGGCTGTCCTAGAAGTCATCTCCCAGTGGCCACCCAACCATTCCAAAGCTACCACCCTGTGTCAGGCTCAACCAGAGCTTATGGCTGGTCAAGACAAACAACTTACTTAACCAAGTTTCACCTTCAGAGATAATTGTCAATTTATTTCTTCTCCTGTGCCTGGTCTGATTTGATTTTATTTTTTGTTGATTTTTGTAGATATTTCCGTGGCTCTCTGCACTGTCTGTCTCATGTCTTAGTGTCTCGGAAGTAAATTAAGTCATTCTGCAAGATTTACATTTCACAAAGCCTTGTTGATTGCTATTCAGCATTTTTGCAATTTTCTATATGATTATAGAGTGTTTGATGATTTGTGTTAGTAATTCTACACATACCAACTTACACAGCCTGGTCTGTAATTTCCAGATTGAACATTTACTTGTTCAAAAAAGAATCAGAATGTGAGAGCAAACAGCTTGTTTTCTTTCATAGGATTTTTGCTCTTTCAAAAGAATTATCTAAAAGAATAGCTTAGATGTTCTGCAGAATCACAAAGACGCATCTACAGAAGTTGGGGAGCTCTACGGAGCTACTGCATAACCATGGCCCAATGTCAAAGACACCGGCCAGTGTGAGGTCAACACAGAGGGCCACTGTCCATCCCTCCAAATAGAAAAATCCTTTGCATTTCTCTCCTAAACCTACAACTGCCGTAGAAGATATCTGATGTCCAGTTAGGCACAATAATGGGGGAGAAATTTAAAAGGATATACAGCATAAAATCAAAGCAGTTTTTCTTTTGTAAAAATTGATAGTCATAGTAAAATTATTGAGCTGGAAGTAAGGCATGGCTGTGTTTGAAAACTCAATGTTTTACTCAGGTGAGGATTGTTATGTGCAAGGGAAACACCACTGCAAAGACCATCTTTTTTTGCAGAATATTTAACTGTGTAATTACTTTTACCTTGGGTGTATGTCCAATGAGGATTAAAAGTAAATTAGAATTATGAGGAATGTGAAAGAATTTTTTAATCAAGCATTTTCCCATTCTAATTCCAAAATAAGTTTCAAAGAGTTAAGGCCAATCCTAAATCTACCTTTAAAATATATTTTCTTATTTGGAGATGATGAATAACTTTGTACATACGTTATGATGATGATTTCACAGATTTAGATTTAACTCCAAATTCGTCAAATTGTGTACACTAAATATGGGCATCATTTTGTATAATAATCATACAACAATAAAGTGGCTAAAAATGTCTAGATAGATACATAGATAGATACATAGATAGACAGACATATTCTTCTCTTTTGATGTAGTTTACTTACAGATTCCAATTTTCATGATTAGGCTCATCTAGTTCTGTCGTAATAGTTGATTGTTAATGATATTCTTGTTGTCTGTTCCTGAAGTTCAAATGCAACTTAAACACAATTAGAATCCAAGGACTATTTCCTTGCACTACAGAAATGCTATGGACTTGTAAATTTCCAAACACCTGTACAGTTAAAGGCACTGACATTTTTTCTAGGATCATAAATCCAACCTTTTTATTGTCTCTTCAGTGTTTTCTTTATCTTTCTGTTTATATGAGCTGTAAATCAAAAGTTATTGTTTCTCTTACTTCTGTGAAAATCTCTCCAGTATAGATTTATAGCTTCATACCAGAAATCCTCATAAACATATTTAAATCTTTTTCAATTGAAGATATTGCTTTTCTCATTTGGGAGTAGATTGGACCAAATTGTAGTATCTTTGACTATTGCTTTAGTGATAAGACTGTCAAAAATGCAAGTGCAAAATTTTGTTCCTAGTTTTATTAGCCCCCCCTGCATGTAAAGTGAGTTGACTCACTTCACAATAAGTAGTCTACCTTCAAAATTCACATAATTCATTCACATTTGCTATGTTATTCAATAAGACAAAAATGTACAACAGAAAAGAGAATCAAGATTAAAGTAAGCTTTTAATATTGAAAACATAATTCATGTTCCAAATACAGTTCAAGTCCTAAGCACATGGGTAGATAATTTTTGAAAACAAAGTAGATATCATTCTTATCATATGGAGCTTAT